CAAGAATTGAGCTAGTAACCGTCTTGCGATGTCCTTTTGCTAACCATGCCGGATAATGTTCAGAGATGGGTTTGGAAAGTGTGCGCTTTGTGCGGCCAATATAACCAGCTCCGCAGGAGAATTTATAAACAGATATTGAAGTGACCCAAAGCGGCAGTTTATCCTTCACACATTCATTGATCATTTGTCGGCTGTAGAAATTGATACGTAGCTCAGCCGCAAAGAACGCTTTTCTCGGTGATCTGGACGAGGGGTTCTTCAGAATCTCACCAGAGGTGTCACTTAAAAATTCAAAGTTCATAAATAGCAGTTCCTTTGGCACCGTCTGGGTTCTTTCGGGCTTTTGCTTTATCTTCATGTTTTTCTCCATGAATCTTGGAAGATATCCATGAGGACTTGTCTGAATCTTTCCAGTTCCCCGTCGATTGTATCAGTGGAAAATATCCTTCTTATTCTTGAGGATAAAGAGTGGATCAGATTTCTCTTGCTTCTCACAGGGACCCAACTATGAAAATTCGTGTATTGACCATTCCATGTTGGTTTCCTGTAGATTGATCTTCCAAGAGAGCCATCAGATTTACTTTTTAGAAAAACATCCGAAAATGGAACTCCGAGTTCATCTCTGATTCCGACGTGAACTGGATGGCAGTTATTGAACTCCTTAGTTATCATTTCAATGTTAGTATCCATGTCACATATGATGAAAGTATCATCCATGTATCTTTGGTACATATGAAACTATAGATAGTAGGTTGTAACATACTAATCTCTAGACTTGCCAAGAGGCAGTCTGCAAGTAAAGGACCCAATGGCGATCCCATCTCTTTGTCTATAGAGCGCGTTGATGAACCTGAACTGGACATTAAAAGTGCACCTGAATAGTAGTTCCTTTAAGTAGTGGATCGGAACACTCACTTCTACATTATTATCCTCGATGAATTTGCATATAAAGCAAACAGTTTCAGTGAGAGCAGCATTGGTGAGAAGGGAAGTAACATCCATGGATATCATTTTTTTTCTCGGATACATTAGCATCACTTATTGAATTTTCTCGTTAAGTTGATGAAATTATGTGAACAGTTTTTGCTACTAAAATAGCTGTCTAGTAACCAGTTTTTAAAAAATGACAAAGTCAACTAACGTTATATTATCTGGATATTAAAGGACCACTGATACTAACTGGATACTTATGAGCAAAACCATACAAGTTTTTCCCCAGAATCTAAGAGACAGAAATGTGCTCAGTAAAATATTCCATAGGATTGTGATGTAGTTGTGTTCTTTGAGCTGGATGGTTTATTTGCGAAGCTTTCATTGCACTACTAGGCAACATCTTCAGCGCATACTTCAATTTGAAGTAAGCAATGAAAGCTTCGCAAATAAACCATCTAGTCCAGAGAACACAACTACATCAAAATCATCCACCTGAGCTACAAATCTTCTCCATCATAACTACAGAATTGTAAACGCAAAGTTATGAAGTGTAAAAGTTGAAGTAATCGAATAATAATAATAATTGCTTTATTCCAGAAACAGTACTAGTGGTGCAGTGTGGAATTTTCAGCACATATCTACAATAGTTGCATCTAATTTTACCGACATTTAAAATAAGTACTAAACAAACAAAAAAATAAATCTAAAGACACCAACAGCAAAAAAAGCAGGATAAACACAAAATAATTGTAAATGCGAAAAAGTACCAAAGACTACCAAAGTCTAATGCAGTGTTTGTGGTGGTAGTGTGAGTAATCCTGAATAATACAAAATGTTTTAAGGTGGTGACAATGGCGTTCACAAACAATGATTGTCAGTTTAATATTGCCGAAAAGTATAGAAAATAAGAAAAAACAACCACAAAACTAATGATTACGTGATGGTTAATGACAGGACAATTTTGTAATACTCATAGTGCTGATATAGTAGGAACCAGTGGATACGCAAAAGAAGAAATAGAGTAAAGTACAAAAAAGGAAGCCAATGTTAATATTTTAGGTAGCTAAGTATGTTTGAAGAAGGAGTTCACTAAAGAATACAAAATAAGAGAGAAATAAAAGAGCCTAAAATTATGTTGTTAATAACAAAGCAAGTCATAGGTTTCACGCTTAACATTGTCTCTGTCGCTTAGAACACGGGCCAAGTATGGTATCGTTGAGTTCCTGTACTTGGTTGTACGAGCATAGATTATTTTATACTGATTTCTGGTTTTACTTGATGAGATACAAGGAGAGAGTTGGGAATAGAGGGGGTGTTGGGGGTCTGAGAGTATGGTTTTTGACCATCTTTCGCATGTATTCAGATGCCTATCAACTAAAGTAGTGACGAGCTGACTGAGATTTACACCACTAGTCCTACTGACTACCTTCAACATCCTTCTCAGGATGGTATAGTCCTTTTCCAGTAGACCAGGAAAGACTAACGGGGAGCAGTAAAGTAGAATAGGTAAGATACAAGAGTTGACAAATTGTGAAAGTAGAGGTTGGGTGATTCCAGATTGTCTAAGTTTCTTAATGTAGTAGGTAAGACAGAACACTTTCTTGGAAATCATTAGGATATGAGATGTCCAAGTAAGGTCGGAAGATAGAACTAGACCGAGGTATTTAGCACTAGACTTAGTTTCAATTTTAGTCCCCTCAATGCTACAGGCTTCATGAGAACTTACTAGTGTTTGTAGATCTCGTTTATGCCTAAGGGAGAAGTCAATAGTCTGGCATTTTGAGGGATTCAGCATGAGACCATTTAGTTTGGACCACTCACTGATAGATGAATAGATACTTAATTGAGATTTCGTCCAACTGATTTGTTACAAACTAGGAAAATTGACGTCATACACTTGCAGTACTCCAACACAAGATAATCCACAACTGATGTTCCTAGAGTACCACTCCATAATTGGAGGAATTGAAATTGCCACTACTGATTTGTTCGTGTCAGTAATTATGATCACTTCACATGAACAATAATATGCCTTCTACCCGTTTTAACAGATTATGGTTATGGTAATCAATGTAATGAGGCAGGTAATGTGTTTTCGGAACACCCATCAAGTATTGGAAGTGGTTAAATTGAATAGATTAAATTCTTTTTTAAATCAACAAACAAAAGAGAACTGAGAAGCTGATTCCAACAGTATTGTTTCATCGTACGTGAGAACATTTAATGTAACCCTTCAGAAATTGGAGTAATCAATTAAGTTAAATCAAATTCATTATTTATGACCCCATAAAACATTTATCATTGCTGTGGTTGGATCCATACACTATCGTTTTGGTATAGAGTGGGGTAGCAACTAGAACACATAGCGTACTGAGTCTCATTTCATTAGAATTATGTGAAACATTTAAAGCATGCGCTTCAAATAACTGTTGTAATTTTTTGTTTCATAAAATCTGCTAATGATTTAGGCGCCTAGTCTTTGTACAAGAGAAATCTGTATGCTTTGTTACGACTTTACCTTACATACATGTTGGATAAACTGCTGTTAATCTGTTTCAAAAGTAAATTTCGCTTTAAATGGCCTAGAATTCTTGCTGACATTATTTATTAAATCAAAATCACGAATTGGTAGGAGTTAGAATTCATGGGCCATCGAGTCAGGTCCTAGTGGTTGAATGGTCTACGGGTTTGCCTTGTAACTGGAAGATCCTAGGTTTGAACCCCGGTGGGTGCGTACCACAGATGAGTCCCGAACTAGAATGAAACAGTTGTCCAGTACTCCCTGGTTTTCAATGGTTCTCTAACTGATTTTAATCCGTGGTCAAACTTGAAAAAAAAATTTAACATCACATAGCAAAGCATAACTGTGGTGAGAGCTGTCTGCTAACCAAAATTGTAAACGATAATTTATGTCAATGTTTACGTCCCGAATCGGGGTCATGAGAAAAAAACAATAAGAAAGCTTAACCTTGAGGAACTCACCAACCAATCACAGCAGACTTAACGTGTGAAAATACGATTCGCGGATATATGGCCTGACTGTCTAAGAAACGGCCACAAAGAGATGACAGAATAACCTTCAGCGGGAAAGCAAGCAAACAGAAGACGTTGCTTCTCTGCTAACAATAACGAATAATAATGTACATAAAAATCTATAAATATCTTTTGATTTTCTCAGTAAACGATCTGTTCGTTACATAAGTAGTTGTGTGCAACATCCGCTGCATAGGTTTCTAAGTTTTGTTCTCAAGAATGAATACAATTACAAAGCTATATCACGTAAGACTAACGTCTGGTTATACACACTAGTTGCGTGTAGTAAGATAGGCTGAATGACAGATCTATATTTAATATAAGAATAGAATTTCGTCGCTGCAATAAAGTATAATTGCACAGTACAATAATTTTATTTTATAAAACACACTATGATACATTATTAGTTATTTACTAATTATGTTTGTTTTGAGCATAATTTATTGTTCATAATCGTATCACCTTGATATGACATATTTACGTCTGAACAGTTCACACACACACACACACCGAAAATAACAAATGAATATTACTCATTAGCTAGGAGCAGTTGATAGCCTATCATATCTTTCGTTCTGTCATCAATAAAGATAGTAGAAGTGACTATGTAATATTATTATTGTAAATTTACAGCATGTTCATTAAACAGTCCTAAATATAGGAATAGATTAATACAATTTTGTGAAAATGACTTCGCACGAAAAATCAACCCACCAAATATCAAACCACATGGCTTGGATTACGAAAGTGCCAATTTTTAATATTTTACTGCAGAAACTAAGCGCTTAAAGTCTGCGACATAACCTATCATAACTTCATTATAATTTGGAAGTGGCTTTTCATATACAAGAAAATGATCTTAACAGCTCTTTAGGGTTTTCAAAAAACTTAATTGGCCTTTTACTCTTAAAGAAAGTGAAAGTTTACAAACGACCCCTAGCAACTGTGTACATGTTTCAGTGTCAATTTTCTGTAAATGAATTGGGGGGTTTACACACCTAACCAGTGGATATGTGCCACTACCGCAAATGATGTTTTTTTAAAAAACAACTCTAATAAACAATCTATTTCGAGATATTTATGAAAAATCATTAATGTGATGAGAAAACTACATGACAGAAGGCTGTAAATTTTGGACAAAGCCACTGTTTATTAAAAATTAGATTTTCTTCTCAACCTTGTGAATTGACTACGATATACACAGTCTTTTCATTGGGTTAAATAAAAACCTTGCGTTTTGTTAGAAAGACTGATGCATAGTTGAGGATTTATGTTGTGCTAATCAACCAACTGCAAAAATAGTTGTGTAATCAAACACGAAGCATAATAAGTTAACCAATTAGCTGAAAATTTTAACATATAGACAGATTACGACTTGATATCCGCATAATCTTAGTCCTCATACACATCAATACTAGTGATTAGGAGATGACTTATTATTAGTAGAAGGGTAGTAAATTACAATACAATAAGAAATACTTAAGATATATTGATAATACAACGGACTCAACACACTATTAAATACATTAATGTTTAATCTTCAACAAAAGGAATAAAAAAAATTGGTCATGACTGAGAAATATACAAAACCTTTAAAAAAAAATGGAGGCTATACACAGTTGAATAAACAATATAAAATGAATTTCTTCAGCTTCTATTCTATTAAAACAAAAGCTAAGTGCATGTTAATTGATATCAATTTCAGAATCTTCTTTAGTTTGAAAGAGAAATTCCCAGAGAGCCATATCTATGTGATTAGATATTTGACCATCATCTGAGATGTTAAAATTTGTAAGCAAGTTTTCCAGTGGTTGGTCTGGAGGCATTAAAGATTCTTGTGTAGGTTGCAATTCCCGACTAATAGGACTTGAAGCTACCGTCTCATCAAAAACAGTTTGCAATAAGGGAGCTAACTCGGGACCGAATTCATTCAAGTTATTTCGAAGATTTTCCATTGGATTAAAACTGGTAGAAGTTGATGCTGATGTACCAGGAACGGTGAGGTCATTAGCGGCAATTCTAAGCTGTTCATCTGCACGTGCTAAATACTGTTCAGCTTTCTCAACAGTTTCCGCGCTTACGCTTACCTAGAAGAGATTTTCAAAAAAAAATGAATTAAGGTTTTTATCATCAACGTCTACCGCACAAGGTTGTTACGTATACACAGAATTTTCAAAATAAGGTCTGATTATATTTTTATGCTGAACATTTTCAGTAACTCTGAGAATCTATTAAGTAACTTATGGCAAATGCCCAAACCAACTATCACGTCAATCTAGTAGTAGCTCAATGACACTGAACAATTCATCAATCCGCAGGTGTATTTATATTTCCAGACTTCGACCGGTTTCCTGCCGATCACGCAAAGATTCCTTTGACTTTGTCAACTCGATTGAAAATGTCAACGTGTCTAATTAAACCATGTTTTAACTGGATGTGGCATCACTGTTTACGGAAGTCTCACTAACTGAAACAACATGCTACATATATGAACATATTTATTCAAAGGGGATAAATATTGGTACATCCAATAATTATTTGAAGGAACTCCTGTTAAGATACACTTTAAATGTCCTATTTTCTTTTAATAGTGAAATATATTGAAAAAATGATGGTATAGCTATGGACTCAACACTGGGCCTGTTGCTTGCAGATTTCTTCATGTCAAAACTCGAAAACACATACTCGAAGAAAATGACTGACACCTTTGGGACTTACAAGAGATATGTGGATGATACTTTCATCATCTCCAATAATGAAGAAAATTTCGGAAGATATCTTGGACTTCTTCAACAGTTGCCATCCTGAAATCTTGCTCACATTTGAGGGATCCGACTTCAAAATATCTCTCCTGGATGTCTGACTAACAAGACGTGAACGGGATGGAATACTACAAAGATTCATTTACAGAAAGCCAACATGGAACGGACATCTCACTAGCTTTCATAGTTCGGTGCTTCTATAAACATAACGAAACCTGGTCTGTTCACTGAGTCACAGAATTCGCATCCCTGATACTATGGAAGAGGAGCTGAACACTGTAAAGAGAATTCTCCTTGAAAACGGTTATCCCCAACGTTTCATCACAAAATCCATGAAGCCTAAACCACTCAATCCACTCACACTTTATGCCTCTAAAAGGCTTCTCGACGCGGATTAACAATTCAATGGAGGCGACTCGTCGGCAGAAATACTAAGAAACCACCTGTTCCGCTCACTGAAGAAAACCTTCTTAGCTGTTGTACTTCGACTTACCAAAAATTCAGAAAAGTAGCTTGACACTTAGGTTTGTCCTCGATTTGTTTAGCTCACTATACCATTCAACTGCGAAATGGCTGGTGAATTTTTTACAACCGTTGCATAATAAACTTGTGAAAAATAGCGTAAAAATACTTTTGAGTTTGTAGAGAGGATCAAGGAATTAAATTGAAGGATAAATATATGATATCACTGGATGTATTTTCACCATTCATCAACGCGCCTTTGATGGAAACAGTTGATCACATAGGTAATGAAATGATAAAGCAGGGTATAGAGACTGGAATTCTTGTATCTTCGTTAAAGGAATTTCTAAGGTGTACAGTGAACGTAAACTTTCTGTTCAATAAGGAAATGTATGAACAATCAGATGGTGTTGCCATGGGATCACCACTAGATTCAATCCTAGCGGAGTTTTTCCTGGTGAAACCAGAGGATGGTCCCTCTTAAAGATGTAATATGTAATCTTGATTTCTATTGCCGATATGTCGATGATACATTTATAGTTGTGAAGAAAGAAAGTGGGACTAAGAACATTGGATAGATTCAATAAAGCACATCCTAGCATAAGTTTCATTCTATCTTCTTTTTGGATGTCCTTATGACTGAGCGAACAGACGGGACAATATGTAGATGTTTGCATCGAAAACCTGCTTCCACTGGACAATATACTCACTCCTTGAGCTTCGTACCTCTACAATACAAACGTAATCTGGTTAGATGTCTGGTTCAACGGGCTAGAATTATCTCTTCAGATAGGAAACTGAACGAAGAACTCGGTAATATTCGTGATATACTAAGTAGAAGCGGATATCCGACTAAATTCTTGAACAAACATATGAAATCAGAAAGTAAAAAGTCGAAGGTGCTTACTGTTCCCAAAACATCAGTCTTCCTAAGATTACAATTCACGAGTGATGTCAATAGTGAGGTCTTATCAAAACGTTTGAGAAGGGCCTTCAAAAGGACTCACCGTAGCTAAGTCATGCTGTATATTCACTAGTCAATGATTACTTAGTTCAAGAAATAAAGACAAACTACTTGTGCGGAGTTAGTTACATTGAGCGTACGATCAGGTAAGTTCATCGTCGAATTCCTGAATACCCCCCATCTTGGTTTGGCGAAGGTCCGAATAAGACTATACGCAGCTCAATACTTGCTCATCTCGTCGATACTGATCAAGTCAACTCTAACAAAGCTTTTAAAGTTATTTATTGTATATCACCCAACCTGTCGCATGGTCTACGAGTACGACTTTTACATACAGCAGAGGCGATCGAAATTCATCTGAACAAGCCAAATCCGTGTGTTCAAAAGAAATTTGTACAACCCCTTTCTTTGCCATGGCCAACTACATAGTATGTATCAAGTTTTTAAGAACGATTTTTCCTCTCCCCTTTTAACTGTCTTTTGAATTTATTTCTTACAATTCTAGCTAATTCTATCAACTTGTTTGTATTTTATGTAATCCTTCTGAGTCATCCTATTCTTCTTAGTCACTATTGTTTTACAGATTTCTTGATTATGTAATAAGTTGTTGCTGATGCCTATGAATTAACTTACCTTGAATTGCGTAATTAAGTTACACTTCTCCTTCAAAACTTAGATATCTTGTTACTAACATCTATTTGTTAATTATTTTGATAACTTTTAAGCTTTGAATTTCACTTTCCCGCCATACTGGAAACTGATTAACTAGAATAACCACTTGATTGTTAAAATTCTGATGTAAAAACTATATATTAGTGTAGAATCGATGATGAGGAACTAACTGAAAAGGAATATATTTTTTAGCTCAATTTGTTGTGTTTTGTAAGGGGGTAAATGTGAATCTGAAAACTTGTGAAAACAAAGAAAACAAGCTGTCCGTATTTATGTAAACATTAACTTGTGGAAGAGAGAAATTCATAAGTTGTTGAATAAAAAAATAATTTCATGCTGTGTATTGCGTTTTTCATAGAATTATATAGACAAGTACATCGAATTGCATCTAATATCGTAAGGAAGACAGTAGATACTACAATCGATAGTCGTGTGATAGAGAGGATGGTTGGCCGAAACTTCAATGTAGTATCCAGTCCACAGAAGGTAGTACTTCGTTGTATATGTTAACTGATGTAAAGCGGTTGGACACGATCTGTAGAATGTCTTAGATTCTCGTATCCTTTACGCTAACTTAAAGTAACCACCGCAAATCAATGAACTTTCGATTAATCATAGTATTTTAGACATAATGTGCTACATTGTGTCTTCTATGCTAAAAAACACTGCTATTAAGCAAACAAATAAACTGTCTACTAAAATCATTTCAGGCTGAGGTAAAAATAAGTACGGAAAAGTTAAAAAACAAAATAAGTAATTACCTGGTATTTGAGGATTTCTCGAAGTAAATCCCTAGCTTGATGCTGTCGATACTCGTTGACAAGATGATGCATATTTATAAAAAGAATAGCCAAATGATCAAGTTTTTCAGTTCGTCTGGGAGAACTTGGATCTCGAGTGATGATATCCAACAAATCCAGATAGTTAGCCAAGATTGAAAAATTGATTTTCTTAAGTTCACGTTTACGGTTATATGTCTGATTAAAAGAATTAGTAAATAATGTAGGAAATTACGTGAACACTTTCTTATGGTGAACGAATCTCCCGAATACCACTTCATTGGGTAGGATAGATAAGTGTTTCGGGAATTGAGAAACCATGATGGGTAAGAGACGTACTTCAAAGTTATATGCCGGACTATGGATAAAATATAAAACAATTTTTGGCCTCCTAAATAAGGCGGAAATCCAGGAGTTTTATGTATGTCGTTTGAGGATAAACACTGGTCTTTATCATATTTTTATATCAAATCAACAGCAACTCAGGGAAAATAAAGATATGAAACAAATGCAACTATACTCTTACAAATGATGTCTCATTCATGGGGTACTCTTCGCGTAAATCCCTATTTTATAACTATTCTACATCCAATTTTAAATGCTTTCTTTCACTTTATTAGTCATGACTCTCCTAAACAAAGTTATTTAACTATGAAGCATGTCCTTATTTGTTATTTATTTAAAATGGTCACGTGGGTATTTCTATGAAACACATACCCTAAATATTAGATTGGAGGTTCGATATAATTTCCGTATCGACTGGTTATAAACGATTTTGAGCTCGGACATCCTAAATTATGATTATCCTGAGGACAGTCTGTAACCGTATAAACAGTGCTCTGACTAATGTTATCGGTTTCCAACTGACTAATATATAAGATAATGATAGTCGTCATTATATCTTATTCAGTACCGAGACATTACATTTGTAGGCTATAACTGAACTCTTTTCATTTCACTTTGTTGCGAATTTAGTAAGTAGACATTGAAGTAGATACTATCGCTCCACAGTCTCCCACAATTTCAGATTTGTTCGTAACTTTATCAGCATTTTTAATGAGCAGCCTGATTAACGAAGCTAGATGTATTATGATAACATATCTGAAAGCTACATGAATTCTCTATTAATTACACAAAAGTTGCATTTTGTTTCAAACATATTAATGCGTAGACCGCTTTTGTACTATAAGCAATTTTGTAAGAAAAAACGCCTATTGCTTGCTTTTCTTAAATCAACCTGCTAAAGCTTTGATTTGCCTCTAGACCAACTTCATCCATTTGTGCTTATCGTGCTCCACAGGAAGCTTGCGTATAAACGGAGCAAGTATACAGCCAAAATAGAAATACGTAATATTAATTTCAGGGTAATTAATAAAGATAAAATAATTTGTTAGAGCTAACCTGTGGATAAACTCGACGGACACCTTGTGACTCCAAAGATCGAAGAATGGCATCCTCAGAGTTGTAGAAATTTCCGAACATTCTGTAAGCGGTTGAACCTGGAGGAGTAGGTGGTCGTGGAGGTGTATCAGTACTAAAAAGTTTATTTATCAACTGCCATGGAGGGGCTGGAAAAAGGCTGACATTGGAAGTCAAGTTAGGCTTTGACTTATCAGTGCTGGACATGTTGGACAACAGTGATAGTAATTAAAGCCTTATACCAGCTTCTTGTGAACGTTTTTGAACACAGCGCTTTAAATTTTGAAACTCCTTTTCACATGAATGACGTTTAACATCCTCCACAGATAGAATACATTTAGCATACGCTGATGATTCAAAAATGCATTGCGAAAGTAAGGCGGGATAGCGTAGAAGTCTTGCTTTGCCGTCAAACGCAGAGGGCATTACCCACTACGAAGTCTATTAGGTAAAATAAAGTAATTATGAAACAAGGTCTTAAATACGGAAATAGTACAAAATAGACTCTGCAATAAGACAGAAGTTGAGTGATGTATAATAATCAGCTTAGAATAAAAATAGTAGCAGGCATAAATTTCAAAACAATATTCTGACTTTGTTTTGAATTGACTTATGTTCTGATCCAGTAGTGTTCTTTAAGTTAAATGGTTTGATTGTGAAGCTTTCACTGGGTTTCTATGCAACATCAGCTCAGAATTCAATATGAAGTGAACTTATCTGAATACTCCATGCGTGATTTAATTGTCTTTTAGGCTGACGTTGGTTGTTGATTTGCATGAGTATCGACCGTCTTACCAACTTGGGATTTCAAGTTGTTTGTCAATTGGGTTATTCTTTATTGGTTTATAAATTTCATTTATGTTGTGTCTGTTGATTACAGATTCTTCTGAGTTCCGGGAATTTCTATAGTTTTAAATTTCAACGCCTTCTCAGTCAAACTGGTGTCCATATTTGTCTACATGCACAAATATGGAAGAATACATGTCGCCTTTAGACGGCTAGTTTATGTTCTTAGACACAGGGTCGAAAGGAGTGCTCACTTTGACCAGTATAGTGCTTTCTACAACTGGTGCAATTTATTATCATCTTTTGCTGTTAGGTGTGCATAGCTACAGGGCCGAAATGTAGAAATTCAAGTCAAAACACGATTGATATCCATAAAAATTAGCAACCGACTGCAACCAATATCGTCATGAAAGACAACTAAGTCACTCATGGATAATTCGAATAAATTAACGTCATATTGAAGTATATGCCGAAGACGTTGTCTAGACTGTCAATTAAAACACCCAGCTCAGAGAACACCGGCACATCAAAACCATCCGCCTGGAAATCAAATCTTTTTCATCATGACTTCTGCTTACTTTTATTTCCTTAACGTACGAAGCTTCTAAGTGAAGACATCGATTGAAGAATGCCTTGCAGTATTTAAATTTTCTTCTAAATCCAAACAGAGATCTTCAAGACAACAGGATACAAGTCAAGAATTAAGAGTAGTCTCTTTTCTACTCCACCTCTGCTGTGGAATTCAAGACCCCGAAACCACTAGAACTATTTCAGAATAGCCCTATTTTTTGTACCTCATCAACATAACAATGAATAGATGAAGGAAGTGATTTCGAGTACATTATTTTGGATCGCCAAGACAGAAGAATAATTCATTTTTAGGGTGTTAGGACTAAGTAATAAAGGAAAAATGGAGAGCACTTCACGAATGTATATAGTATTAAGCGATTAAAACTTAAACAATGAGTGCTACATATGTGAAGCTCCAAACACGAAAATATATGGATACCCAACCCAAGTAAATAGATACATATTACTAACAGAAGTTAGCACTGCTGTAATGGTACTATAATTTATTCGTAGACATAAAGTGGGAGGAATAAGAATAGTATACAGTGTACCAGAGTGAAATACTACACGAATCTATAAGGTAAGTCAGGTACGAAACTGATATTGCAACTAGAATGACGATACTGCATAAATATACTTGGAACAATGCTATATATTCTGAGCTATAACCAAGGATGAACGTTAAATAAGAAAGAGAATAATTAGATGGAAAGTAATGAGGGCTTTCATAATATGGATGGTGACAAGTATTGAGTACATCGACTTTGAGTTATGTCAGCAACTTTCCAGCTGTTGGTTCTTAGCATCCCGAGGAAGCACATAAGGACTACACCAAGCTACATGGTTCAGACCAACAGTCAACGACTTCATGGATTGATGCCAAGTTTAACTTTACCACCCCTACCTCTATTCCGACACAATTCTATGTCACTAACACTGTTCGGCGAAGTTGATGAAATAGTGTGCGTCACGTGACCTAACCAACTCAATTGACGCAATTTCAGAACGGCATTATCATTTAATAGGTTATATTACTTAACATAGGGAATAGAGTGCAAACATTTGCGGTCAAAGCCGGCTAGCCTCTTCACGTATCCTAATTAAAACGGCCATGTCTCAGTCATGCAGTAGGTAAATGTTACTTGAGTTTGTATCCGTGCTGAGATTTCTACAGCGACCAGGCCATTGGCAGATGAAACTTCCAAAGTGGAGTGAACAACATTCCCGACAATTTTTTTCTTTATGTATAAACTAGGAGCATCATCTTGCATTTGACAAGATTGATTTGCACGCCTAAAATAGCAGTATTTCGTCTCAATGTGTTCAGATAACTACGAAATTTATCAGCCTCTTCACTCAAAAGAACTATATCATCTGTCTACTCTATATCAACGAGACTGCTACTTGATAAAAAGTTAATCCACAAGTCATTAAGATCGATAAGGGTCACATTCATTAAAGCAAAATGGAGACAGTAAACATCCCTGATGGACGTCACTCTGGATGAGAACTCCGAAAGATCTTACACGACTGCGTGAGTTGCAGTATAGTACCCTTATTAGCACGACATACTTCCTTCAAGGTCAGACGCTACCAAAGCACCACTCGTATGACGGATTCGACGCCGCCATGTCAAGAAACGTGACATTATTGATACCAATGAGTACGCATATGTCTCAGAACCTGTCGATTGAGGAAGATGTGATAATAACACCCTCTTCCGAGTCCAAAACCTGCCGGTGTTTCTGTCTCCTGAGTACCGCTCACTTTGCACACAATTATCGAACTTAGGTATCATGTTGGTGAAGCCAAACTCCCCCCATGACTACCGCAGGACTTGTGTCCTTCTTCACATACTGCGATAGTCATTTACACAAGTTCCACGGCACTATCTCTGGTTTCCAGATGCGGATTAACCAAGATATTGGGTGGTGCGTTACCTAGTAACTTGGCTTAAACCAGACAACGGCTCATCACCACTATCCTTAAACACCTCTTGAGTCACAAGCGAGTAAGGTGGAGCTTTTGTATTCGTTCGTTGTTTCATGTAATACATACAGCGAATATATATCGACTGTGAGTAACAAGTTTACCCGAACCTGCAGTTAACCTTGAGAAGACAATTAACCCGCTACGGAGCTTTACATATACAATGCCCAATAGATCTGATCTAACAACCCAGGATTAGGTGTGTCATAACCCTTCACAATTGGGCACTAGGGTGTTGTAGGTTGCACTCCATTGGTAGTTAGTGGTGCTTAAAGTTTAACTTGGCCGGGTGTTGATGTTAAGTAATTTTTAGCTAGTCTTCTTATGTCTACTTTAATTCTAGAATGAACACTTGCTTTCGTAAGGTGCACTTACTGATAACGAGGCACAAATCAAACAGATTCAGTTACCTCTTACTACTCTACTAACATTGGTATATTTAAATAGAACAAGGTTTGAAATTATTTTAGTAGGAATGTTCTTGAAATTTTCTGGTCAGTTTAGCTGAGTTGTGGATAGACTGTTTCCTAGCATACCGAAGAGGGAAAATGGAGACAGCCAAATTGGATTTATGCGGCCTATGAAAGCTACCTAAAAGTTTGTTTAGGTTGTTTTTCATTTCTTAGATGTTGATCGAAACACTGGGCCTTGATCTTACAGGTGAAAAAGAAAAAATTATAAGTGTATAGACCTGAAACGAAACCCGGACCAACTGCGTGACATACTGTCACGGAGAAACAGATACAATTTCGATCAGCTTGATGTGTTTATTTCGTCCCTAGTTGTGTTTTAGTGTCTGAATGGTGCACTTATAATCCATGTGGCAGGCAGGGTTGAAAACTGGAAGCTACTGTAGCCAGTAGTAGTTTGTGTCTACCTAATTTCCCCTTACGAAGATCAAATAGGGAAACAGTCACAAATTCATGATGTTAGTTTCCGGAGATCAGTGCACTCTCTTCCTCTTGCTGGCATATCCCTCACCTCTTCTATCCTGTAAAACGGCCTGGAATGGGTGTAATATCTTCTCATTTAAGCCTTAGAATATTTCACACTATGGTTAAGTCTCTCCGCTATCATTGACGTTGTGAGAAGTAATGATGAAATATGTATTTCATAAAACTAAGGGCCTCCACAGAGACTGCAGTACAGTCAGCTTGTGTGGACGAATGGTTCGTCTGACTTATCTAACTATATCAGGAGTTATAGGTCAAGTGCAGATGTGTTATCTTTATAAAAGGTCACTTGGTTACGCCGGTTAAGTGGTTGTGTACCCGTCTGTCTCAACCGAAAACTTTCTTAATTATAGTTGTGCGACAGGCTATCCTGCTAGACTTGCATATCTAGCTGATATTTCCACCTATCCCACCCAACTTGTCGTCCAGCCTTCTCCTTAATCCATTCAACTTATGAACACAGAATATTACACCGAGACAAACGGAATAATAATTATTTATAGGAACACATATTCGCATCACAATTCAATAATCTTTTTCCTGTTTCTTCAGACACAGCTGTTCTTCCACCGGAAGTAGCAGTGACAAACAAAATGATCGATGAATGTGGAATGTCTAGTTGAAATAATGAACTTCTTTGATCCACATATTCACTTTTTCATTAAATTTAGTGGAGTTGATTCATCATAATAATATGATCATTTTACTTACGGCTGTCATGGCAAATCTGGAAAATGTCAGAAAGATGAAACAGTTATTAGTTCTGTGAGCTTATCTGATTCTATATGGATTTCATATTCGGTTTGATCAATCAATGTATGATGAATAATTTCGCGGTGCGGAGAACTACATATCTGTTACAGGTGTGCCATTTTTGATCATCTAGTTTTTTACTGCATTTTTGTTATA